TTTTTTATCATAAAACAAATCAGAAATTCCAAGTTTTCACATAAATTCACATAAGGACCGTTTATTTCATGCAGAAATACTTCTGACTGTAAGCGTATCGCTCACTTCGTATTGTGCGGATTGCAATGGAAGCAGGCTCTGATACCAACAAAAAGATCTTAATTGAGAATTTAACTTACGCGAACCAACTCGATGATATTTGTAAACGTATCGATGAGGTCGCGGTGCTGGTACATAGTCCTCTTCCTCTTCCTCGCTATCATTCCCTGAAAGGATATAATGGACATGTAACATCGGTTACTTGAATGAAATAACAAAGTTCAAATATAATTCGAACAAAGTAGCTCCGATTCATCACCTTTCAGCAATGCAAACAACGGATTCAGATATCAAAGGGATTGAACTTTCCGAGCTCTTCTTTTGCGATTGAAATAATTAGGTTGGAAAATTTTTTTGTCTGCATTTTAAAGCAAAACTTGTGTTTCAGGTATGCAAACATAATCGATTGTGAGGCAGTTAATGAAACTGTTGTGCTGATTTGTTCCTTTTGATAGCTAAACGAAACTCAGGAAATCAGGAATGAAGCTCAGTTCTTAAAGAATTTCAATGCAAACCAAAATATGCACTTCCATCCCTCAGAAGTACAAAGGATTTGTCAGTGGAATGCAAAACCTTGACGATAAAGAGTGTGGTAACACAGTGAAAGAGAGAACAAAATAGTGGTTCATATTCAATCCAATGATACGAAATACTTATGAGAATCCCAAAAGATATCTCATAATCACGATAACGGATTAATATTCTAAGAGTAGCGAATGAACCTTAGGGACGGAAAATTTCATTCCAAAAAAAATTACTGGCGGATAGAAATGTGATTGGGGAATTACTGTTGATCCATTCATGCAAAGGGAATTAACAAAATTTAAACTCCTCCGTCACTCTAACAGAGTTTGCAATCGGCATTTTTGTACGGATCCTCACATCAATTAAAATTTTCACTGATCCCAAGCAATCGCCTCTGGAAGTATCAATTAAAATTGATCAGCTTTGATGCTCACCTGGTTTAGAAATATTCTTTTGAGGATCAGATGATGCCATTTTACTGAAAACAAGAAAGCGATGATACTTGAAGAGATTGAGTCAGTCAACTGAACTGAAACGCAAGAGGAGAGCCCTAGCTTGAACACGAACAGCAGCAGTAGCACGAGCAGTTGAGAGGAGTAGTACTTTAGTTTTGCTTGGATGAGTCGAAGAATGTTTTGTGATGATGCTTTTGTTGTATCCGTTTGTTGTTGGATTTGTGTGTGTGCTGAACGCTCCTCAGAGCGAGGGCGTCAAAAACACACTCAAGCGCTTCGATTCGCTCGATATTGTTGATCAACTTCTAGCAATCATAAACCACTGCTGCAGTTGTGACATTTTATTTATTTTATTCAATAACTCACTTTATAGCCGTCAAATTCTGCACGCCTAATTGATTTAATGAATGTGGTTTTGAGTGAATATTGTGAACTATTGCTGCTTGGCTTTAGAGGAGTAACTGAATTTTTTAACAGTGCTCTTCGTGAATCATTTTACGGAACACGATAACTACTGGAGTGAGGCAGTGAAACGGATCACTCAAATGGAGCACCGAAAACTTAGAAGAGAAATTTTCACAACAATCAGTGAAAATATTATTGAACGCATGACGGCATAATGAACATGAACCTCACACTGCATGATGTTTGATGGCCTTACTATTGTTTAACCGAAAGTCTAGCTCACGGAAGAATTTCACTATTATTCTATTGGTGCTAAAATGACACCTGTTACAAAGCAATTGATTGATGAATATCGTTGTTCATTAATTAAATTGCAAGACAAACAAACACTGACGTTATCATTTGTTTATTTCTTTTGAAGCTCTCGAATATGCTTGATGAAAAGTCCAGAATACAGTTGTTTTTTTTCTCACACTTTGCACGTTACTTTCACATTTTAACCCTGTGAATGTAAGCAATCAATGTGAACTGCAACTGCAACCATCGTTTGAACGCTGAAAAATGGCCCCAATGCAGAACAGATTCAGAGTTGACTGGCAACGGGCAACGAGTTAATAGGAATGCGTAAGACCCATTAATGATTCACCAAAGTTGCAAAAATGACAAATGAAATTTATTTACTGCAAAATGAAATTTACTTATCAGACGAATGCAAGACCGATGCTTGAATTACGCTGTCGGCAGTGAAGCAATGTTTTGTGACAAATATTATGCGAACATGAAACTGACACTGATACTGATATTTGTGCTTTCCCAAGCAGCTGTTATGTTCTGTTTACATGCTTCAATTCATTCACCACTATCCCAATTTGCTTCCATCATTTAAAACACAAGTTGTTGGTCTTGACTGAAGGCTATTATGCTATCGACCTTGAGCAATTCGACATTATCAAAGCACTATTTCATGGGAGTTTGATACTTGAACTTATGAAATTAAATCAAAAAGAGGAACGAAAGACAACGTTCAGATCTCCTGTCTTATTTGTAAATTTTCAAGAAATTTATTTTGCTTATGGACGAAAAAATTTCTCAGTGAAGTGGTTAGAAGCTAAACGAAGAGATAAATTATTTAAGAGTTGAAAGCGCAAAAACGTTGCAGATTTATTGCAGTCGTAGACGATTTTCTGACGATATCCCTCTCGCATTCATTTCTCTTTGCCTAAGGTAGTGATTATGATCGCCTTGGAGGCATTCAGTGACCTTATGCCCAATAGAGCAGTCTCAGTCATGAGCTGTTTCCATTTGTAATTGCAATACTGTCTTTGGATGGGCATTTCGTTCAACGTTTTTCGTTCATTAATCGATCGAATATTGAAAAGGAAAGGCGACAACTCCGAAGGTTTTTCGATGCTTCTTCAAATGTTTTCATAATCTATTCATTTATTAATTTATTCAGCAATCAACTCATTACGAGTTTATACCTCTAAGTTGCCAGCAATATCACAGATATCACACTCTTCATTCGCCAATGTCCCTCTTTCCGCACAGCTAACGATATCAGTGCAAGAAATCACCTATTTCATTTTAGAACAGATTGCTGATTTGACGACGATACAGGTGTAGGGCTGCTCTCTCATCCTCCGCAACGATTTTCAGGAAGAGGGATTCCAAAGAGGTCCAAACTAGAGTTTGCACGAAATAATCCCGGAATCTAAAATCGACTCCGGGATTAAATCCTAATCCAGGAATTGAAAAAACGTCGGGATTTTGCAAACTCTAGTCCAAACATGGTGCAGTATCAGTTTGAAAATGCTCATGTGAACCTAACTGAATTTTTTTCGAGTGTTACCTTTTCTCAAAACCTAAGTGTATAAGAATGAAATTTAAGTTATTAACCAACATTGAATTTACAACCAGCTGGTGAAATATTTAAGGATTGGCTGAGCGAGAAAAATTGAGTCGTTTCACTTGAAAAGAATTTTTTTCAGAGCAGGTGCCATGCGAAAGAAGAATGGTTGATTTAAGGAACGGTGGCGGAATAGAGAATTCGTCAGATATTGAGAATCGGAATCCAGTTAACGGTGTTGACGATGACGCTAGAGACGATGGCGATAGCGACGATTTGTTCGTCGATGCCAATCAGTTTTTCGTCCACCCTGTCCATCCGTTGCAACAGCAAATTCCACGAAAACAATCGCAAAGGTTGACGGATGAAGTAGAAAATCGTGATTTGAATGATCAAGCATATGAACGTAAAACAAGAAACCGTAAGCGAAAGGTCATCAGTGGTTATAAAATTGTTCACTGTGAAGGATGTAACTGTAGAAAAAGACCGAAAAATAATTCACCATCGAAACGCTTCGATGAACATCAAACTGACGACGTCTCCAGATCAGCAGGTAATATTCTGAACCTCTCATAATACGTCAAAATTATGACGACCTTCAATGCTAAAATGTGCGACTAGGATTTGAGTTTGATATTTCGATAAATATTTGTGAAGAAATTTCAAGCTTTCCATGAACGCGTCACTAAGAATAATCCACTGCATCGTTGTTGATTTCCAGAATCGAGTTCGCCAGAGGTCGCAGATAGTGTTGTGATTGTT